TCCTCTGAGTGAGTTCACCAAGTCCGAGGCTTGCCTGCAAGAGGGATCATGAAGCACCGAAGGTTAAAACCACTACGCACAAAAAAAGGAAGAAGGAAAAGGGAACTTACAGTGACCGAGGCCTGAAGGATCTTGGAACAGAGGGCATCATCGGCTTGCCGAGAGAGCACCGATTTATCCGTCGGGGGGTGGCCCCCCTCAGGAACTCCCTCGGGTTCAACGTCGCATGCATAATGGTAGTCCCCTTGGTAATGGAGAACTGCACATTATTTTGGGGCCATGCCAGTTCGGGGGCTTGGACCGGGGGCTCAGAGGAGGAATGCTCCTCGACGATAACAACCGGGGCCTCTTTCATCGCGAGGCCCCCTTTTTCTGCTTCTTCGCCTCCGGGGGCACCACGGCCTTCCCGGCCCGTTTCCTCTTCAGCTCCTCAATAGGGGAGCCCTCGGCGGTGGAACCAACATCGTCGCCGGCGGCAGCCTTCTCTTTGGGCACGGTCTCCTTGGCCCCGTCGGCTGTCCCCGCCATCGGGAAGATCTCATCCACCGCCCTCTGTTGCACCGAGGGGTCCTTCTTCCTGTTCTCCTTGGCAAGTTGTTTTTTCAACTTTGAGAGATTCCTGGCGTCCATGTCTGGTCCTGAAAAGTAAGGGAAATACAGAAGGGTTAGGAGGATAATACTACAAAAAAGAAAAAGGAAAGAAAAATATTCTAAGTACGAAATGGGAGCCCTCGATAAGTTAACTACCTCCGGTGCTTTGATATACCCTATCGACGGGGGGATATCTCTCGTCGCTTTCCTCCATCAATCGATACCGCCGGAAGCTCAGGTTGTAAAGATCATCTGGAAGGGTATCATCCCTGATCTTGGTATGCTTCTCAGACCCCTCGGGCTTCTTGGAGAGCTTCCTCTCCTTTTTCTCCAAGGCAGCGCTCCCTACCTTGACGTGCCTTCGGAAGCTATCACGGAGTGGGGCCGGGAAGGCATTCTCCGCCATCCGAACGTAGCAGAACTTATCTTTCCATCCCTTGTGAGACGAAGGGACATCGTAAAAAAGCCTGAATTCAGGGAGCTGTTGCAGGTTGGCGGAGAGGAAGAATTGGTCTAGAGAAGGCTCCACATCCCGGCTCCGGCAGAGGGAAAGAAAGCCAGCCAAGTAGGAATGGCTGTTCGGGGTCAATTGGCAGGGAGCAAGTTTGACAAACTGAAGGTACTCCACCACGAAGGGATGGAGGGGGAATCGGAGGCCCAACTCCACCGAGAGTATATGCACGGCAAAGTAACCGGCGGGAGCGTATAACAAAACATCATCTGGCCCCGACTCCACTACCTATGCCGAGGGCCCTACCAAGAGCTGCGTCGCCATATATTCTCCCCGTGTGGCTCGGGTCTTCACGTCCAAGGCAGCAGTGTTCAGGTAGGAATAGCCTTCGGGAATTCCTACTGGCTGCCCAGCGTCGACGGCAGCCTGTTTTTTCCTCGCGGCAGCCTTCACCTTTCTCTTCCTCCCAGGGGCCACGCTGATAGGTGTCGGGTTCAATGGCTGAGAGCTTCCGGCCTCTGCATTCTGAGGGGGAGGAACATCGATAGTGACCTTCAGGCTTTCCTTTTGGGCCTCATCCTCAACCACTTGAAAAGCAAGTGCCAGCTCCTCGTCCTCGCACACCTGCTCGAACTCTTCTGCTTCCAACTCGAGCCGAAGGCTTGCTTGTACCTCCTCAGCCACCGCAAGGTCCTAGTTGACCGAGGTGCGTTCGCTCGAGGACTCCGCCTCAGAGAAGCTCTCGACCTCTACCGGAGGCTCCTTCGAAACGTTTTGAGAATCACTTTGCGAAGACATCCTCAACAGCTAAGGGATAAGGGGTTTTTTAAGGCGGGAGGCTTCCTAAGGTGATTAAACGCTTAACCTAAGGCCACAGAACTACAACTCGCTAATATGACAACAGATGGGTGGAGAACTGACCTCGGGAGACTGGTTGATCGAAGGCTGGAGCTTCTCTCTCTAGAAAATTCTGCATAGCTTCGCTACAATGAAATCGCACAAGGGTAATGACCGTAGCCTTGGGGTATTTATAGGCACCCGGATCCGGGCTTGGGCCTGAAAACAGGGCCTCCGGTGGCAAATTCATCATTACTCGCCGACTTTCCGCCCAATCGGTAGAATCCACCCACAGGCAGCCAGTGGATACGCGCCACGTGGATACTTATCTGACGATAAGTATTCCAACGGCTCTATTTACAACGGCTATATTCCGGGAACCAAGTCCGCGCCCTCGGCAGACCACTCCTTCATCAACCAAAACACTAGCCCCCGGGCTTTCTCCTTCACTCCACTTCACTCATTTCAAACCAGGATTTCACCTTTTCGACTCATCATTGGGGGAATTCGGTGCACTCTTTTTCCCTCATTGGATTTTTTTTTCCACGGGGTTTTTTCCAATGGGTTTTTTATCGAGGCATCCCCCCAAAATGAAACGAAAAGCGTCACCCCTCGGCTTTATATTGCAGGCAGGCACTACATAACTCCTTTTCACCACTTTACAAGTGCCTCAAGGAGTGGGGGACTGGAAGACCCCTTCGGGAAAATCTCAAAACACAAAAAATGTCAAAAACTCCCACAACAAACGAGCATGATCCCTCAAGTCCCGGAATGTGGGTAACTGAGGGACTGCCCTCGGCTGAAACATGCACACAACAAACTATTCACAAACTTTACAAACTACAACGGAACGACACCAAAGGACAAACACAAATTACTCCTTTTCCCTCAAGTACCTTTCGACAAAAGGAGTGAGGGACTCCTGATGGAGTATATGGCCCAGGAACCCACGGCCCATAGACTCCTACTATTCTGATGACGGTCCAATAGGCCCAGGGAGCACAGCAGGCCAAAACACAGCGCCCAAGAACTGAGCAACCCACATAGCACACTGGGAGTGCCTTCGGCCCCCTGGCCGAAGGCTCCAGATTCTCATAGGATGGCCAACTCAAGCGAACAAAATTACTGGGAGAAAACGGCGAAAATCAGTAGCCCTCGGCACCTAGAGCCCTCAGCACTAAGGAGGTCCCCGGTACTCAGAGCCCTCGGCTAATCACCTACAGCCGGGGGCACCTTTCTCGACATAATATCCACTCCACATGAGCCTGAATCACTGTACCAAGTACGACGTCACATCCAACAGCCGTATTAAATGCGGCCACATGCGATTGCCAGCGCCAACCAGTTGATGTGACCCCTCGACCAATGGATGCTTGACACGTGTCCCTATCTGGCATTTATTACTACTATAAATAACACCCCATTTCCCCATTTGTAACCAAGGCAAAATACGCTTAATACATATCGAACATACACTCTTTCTCTTGCTCACTTGCTCTGACTTCTCTCTAGTTATTCTCCGCAATAACCCCTCGGATAAGCTACCCCCGGGTATACTATCCATCAAGAAGATAGACGGTACTTTAGTAAAGATAAATAACATAGTCCTATTTTTGCATTTGGGGATTAATTTAGTCCTATTTTGGGGCTATTTTCTTAAATATATATTAGTGGTAGAATAAAGGTAAGAAAAGGAAAAAAGAAATAAATAAGTGTAAATAAAAAGAAAATAAAGTAAAAAGTTGGTGCAGTGAGAAAAAGATCTTTTACAATGAAAGTAATCCGAAAAAAAAATGAAAATGAAATAATAAATGGGAATAAGAAAAAGAAGGAAAACGGAATACATAAACATTGAAAAAAATAAAAAAAAATTAAAAAGTAATAAAAATAAAAATAAGAAGACAAAAATGGGGAATAAAAGAGCCAAGACGATAAAAATAAAAAAGGAAAAGTTTTAGGAAGAAAAAAGACATGTGGGACCGCTTGGTGAAGATTTATGAAAGGTGAGATTTATGATTAAATGATTTGCAAAGAAAATGAAAAAACTTGAAATAGTAGGTCATCAACCGGGCAAGGACCAACGAATGAAAATAAGGTGTAAATGTTGGATTATTCATGAATAACGATAAAGTGGAATCAACGAATGAAGACCGCTAAAAGGTTAAATTATTAATTTCCATTTTCCCTTATACGATAGTATATATTATCCGTTCATTATTTATAAGAATCTGTGTTAATGTATTAATTACAAATACTACGGTTAATCTGTGTTTTATGAATTTGAAATTATACGGATAATGGAATATTTCATTAGAGAGAATATTAGAATTAGAGGCGGGGATTTGCTAGTTACTAGTGGTTATTACAATTATTAAGAATTTCAACAACAGTATATTTGAATACTCTCTACCTCCCTAAAAGGATTGCTAAGTTTGACCGGTCATTAGAATAAAAAAATTGTGTGGTAGAGATTTGTGCAGAGGAGAAGAAATAACAGGAACCAAAAATTGATTGACTAAACGAGAAAGTGACAAAATTTTTTAAACGACCAAAAGGGTAAAATTGACAAAGTTATAAAGAACAAAGAGAGTACTATCCTCCGTATCTCATTAGTTGCAACATTAGAATATATACACTATTCATGTACTTTACTTTGACTACATTTTATTTATTAATGTATGTGAATTATTTTTTTTTTTGAAAAATGTTATTAAATTCATCTCATTACTAAGTTTTATAATCTGATTTTTATTTTATTTTTACTAATACAAAATTATTTTTATTTTTTTTTATTGTGAATTGGCAAACGTAAAATGTTGATTGTTGCAACTAAAAAGAGACGGAGGAAGTATTAGTTATTAGACAATTATTACTGAACTGGGTTACATATACCGAGTATTTTTCAAAAAAGGTCGTGTAACCTGTTGTGTTGTTTGGCTAATTGCTCACGACATCGTCAAAGAATGGGAATCATACAATTATGACACCCATGACATGTCACATGTGGTTAACTACGGCGCTAAGCGAGCTAGAGCGCGTGGCGCGTGGTACAATAACACCGCGCGTCGCGACACCGTCATTACAGTGCCTATAAATCATTGCGATGGGATGCGATCCATCTGTAAAAAAAAAATCAAACTTTAATTGATTTCACTGTGTGGGTCGGTTTGGCAAAAGTATAGGAAGTACGAAGAGCTCAAGAAAGACATTTTGAATCAGAAAGATGGGCTCTTTCTGGGTTATGATTCTGTGTATTCTTGGAATAACTGGCTCTGTCTGCTCTCAGTTGCAGGAAGGTTTCTACAGTAAAACATGTCCCAGAGCTGAGAAGCTCATCAAAGACTTTGTCCACGACCACATTTCAAACGCTCCCACTCTAGCAGCTCCTTTACTGAGAATGCATTTCCACGATTGCTTTGTCAGGGTACGTAATTGCCTATCTGTTCTTGTTTTTTCATGATTTGTGGGTCTCAACTGACAAGAAAATGCCTTAATGATGAAGGGTTGCGACGCATCTGTGCTTTTGAACTTCACATCAAGCACCGGAAACCAGACGGAGAAAGTCGCTGTTCCGAACCAGACTTTGAGGGGGTTTGACTTTATTGACCGGGTCAAGAGCATCGTGGAAGCTGAATGCCCTCAAACCGTCTCCTGTGCAGATATTCTTGCTTTGGTCGCCAGGGACTCTGTAGTCGCCATTGTAAGTCTCTTAAACCATACAAAACTGTTTCATTTTGTTTTATTAATGTACTTTTTATGAGATTTCATCAAAGATTCCTGTAGTTATGATCTTAATATAAAACTTTATTATTTCATAATTTTCTGGTATGAGATTTCAACCATTGCGACAAAGTGGGGATTACGTGGTGCTAACAAATAGAGATGGTAATGTTTAATTTTCAGGGAGGGCCATCTTGGGATGTTCCGACGGGTCGACGGGACGGCCGTGTTTCCAATTCATCGGAAACCAGCAGCATTCCCCCGCCCACCAGCAACTTCACAACCCTCCAAACGCTCTTTAGCAACCAGGGTCTTAATCTCACCGACTTGGTCCTATTGTCCGGTACGTGCATACGGTTCATTTTGAAATACTTTAATCAACCCAACAACCTAATTAGGTGTAGTAAGTACTACGAGTACATTTGATTTCTGTAACTTGAGCTATAAGTTCTTGATTTTATATTACTATGTAATTTATATTCGACCCGTGTGGGATGACTTAATAGGTGCGCATACGATCGGGATGTCGCATTGCTCGTCATTTTCAACCCGTCTTTACAATTTCACGGGGACGGTCCCGTCGCAAGACCCGGCATTGGACAGCGAGTACGCGGCGGCTCTGAAGAAGAAATGCAGGTCGCTTAATGATAACACAACGATAGTAGAGATGGATCCGGGGAGTTTCAAGACGTTTGATCTGAGCTACTATAAGGAAGTTCTGAAGAGGAGAGGGCTGTTCCAGTCGGACTCGGCCTTGTTGAACAGCCAAACGACAAGGGCATTGGTCAATGGTCTTGCCAGTGGAACCAATGAGATCTTCGAAGCAGAGTTTGCGAGGTCTATGGAGAAAATGGGAAGGATTAATGTGTTGACAGGGAGTGCAGGTGAGATCAGGAAAAACTGTGCGGTTGTCAACTGATCGGGCCGGGCCGGGCCGGGCCGGGCTTTTGTTTTTACGCTATCTTCTCATCCATATTTGAGTCCGTAATTAAACTTGCTGTCCAATCCGCGGGGTGGTTTGGTCGGTCAATTATTGTGCCATTTTTTTATGAGTGGAATTCCAGTTCAATAAGTTGTACTAAAAATACGTGGATGCTGGATCCATGAAAAGTATCCCTCTATAGATTTCAAGTTAAACGTTGTTATCCGATGTGTTTTGCCATGTGATCATATTTAATTTAATTTGGTGCCCTTAATGTTTTACTGATGACGTTAAGTTAATAATAGTACTTAATAATTTTATATCTCACCCGTCTTTTTCAGTGTTCATGGGATATCCTTTTCGTTGTTGCGGTTTTTCTTTGTTTGTTAAAAACGTGATGGGTAACACCGAAATCGATTGAATCGATTAGTTTGATTGAAGTGGTTATATTGATTGATTCTGTTGATTTATGAAAAAATTATATTCAAAAATATTTTGTTAATAAAATAAAGACAAAATTATATGAAAAATATTTTAAATGATCATCTACGATAAATTCAATTAATAGAGTTAGAAAAGTAACTTTAACTTTAATTTTTAATATTATTACACAATTCAACGCGCGAAATCAAAAATTACGTGTTTAGTTAAAAAGTTTTTTGATAATGTTAATTAGTCAAAAAAAGAGTCATCAAACGGGTTCTAAATCTACGAACAACAATATCAATATCAAAAAAAATTAAATTTTCCTTCTCAAATTGAAGACAACTACGGAGTAGTATATATCTGATTACTCTTCAACTCTTTAAGTATCTTTCATTAACTAAGAATAATGCGAACATTAGAAATAATTTTTCACTAAAAATTCAGTTATTTATCTCATCAAAAACTAATAAGTGACAGTATTTCCAAACATCAATTATTTGATGATTTGATATTAGTTTTTGATGTCTTAATTCTTAAATGAATGGATTTTTGTAGAAAAATGTCACGATTTTATTTTTGGTTTTCATTCCATGAAAGATAATTGATATTGTTTAAAGTTATTTGCTTTTTTTAATGGTAATAAAGGTAATATACTAGTACTACGTATATGACTTCTAAATTTTGGAAATTTTAAAATTTGACTACCTTTTTTTAATTGAATTTTATCAATTCAGGACCCTAAAGATAGATTAATTATCAATTCGATACCCGAAAGATAAAACGTATCGGTATAGGACTCAAATGATGGAAAAGTATCAATTTAGGACCTAAGTTTCATAGGTTTTGATTTATTTAATTTTTTATTAGTTCAATTACTAATTTTTGATATACTTTTCTTCACAAAAGATTATTAGTTTAATAAAACTAAATAATATTTAAAATTTTTAAAATTAAAAAAATAAGAAAAAATATGACAACTTAGGTCCTAGATTAATAGTTTTCAATTATTCAGGTCCTAAATTGATAGTTTTTCATCATTCAGGTACTATATCGAAAGATCTAATCTTTCAGATCCCGGATTGATAATTCATCTATCTTTCGGGTCCTGAATTGATAAAATTCCTTTTAATTAAATTTTATCAATTCTGGTACTCATAAGGTATCATACCTTTGTCCACATGTAACAATCAAAATGTTGCAGTTGAATTATTTAAATCTAAATTTAAAATGATATAATGATTTGGACTAATAAAATGAATGGTAGGTACGGTATCCCATTTTTTAAATGGGTACCGGAATTGTCACCTATGGATTAATCTTCAAATAACTAATTTGAATTCAACTTATTGCCCATCTTTCAAAAAAAAACTTATTGCCCATCTAGCATCTACACAATTGCATTGTATTGTTTGCAAAATGTCACTGGGATATTGACCTAATCACCTAAATCTTCCGTTCAACCAATGGCAGATTCTTTAGCGGCATTTAACTCTTGGTCAGTGCCCGTAAAGGAGGCTTTGGGGGAGTTAGGACAACAATAGTCTTGGGCCTCACATGCCAAGGCGCCTCCAAAATCAAAGCTATTACTATTATTTTTATGTATAATTACTTAATAATTGGAAATTAGAATAGGAAAATTATCTTCTACGCAGACAGCAGGCAGCGACGTGTCACGTATAGATGTCTAAATAAGGTAACAAGGATTTTAACTCTTTAGTACTACAAATGTTTTAGTGTGGTTACAATGAAATAATGTCTACTAAAGGAGTAAAAGTGTAAAGTTAAATATTTAATATGCTGAATGTATGACAAATAGCTATGATCTAAAAATTATTGGGTTAATATTGCTATACTGGTAAAACAAATTGGTATTGTATGGATTAGATTGTACGTCGTATGATATATATATGATGGAGTATATGGTCCAGGGACCCCCGGCTCACATATTTCCACTACTACAGTCCGGCCCAACAGGCTCAAGCAGCCCAAACACAACAAGCAAGGCTCCGGGCAGCCCATACTGCAACAGGTTGTTGCCTTTGGTCCTATGGCCGAGCGCTCCAAATTCTAGAAAACAACTTGATATGGACCTGCAAAGTTTCAAGGAAATTCTGGGTGAAATGTTAGCCTTCGGCTATTCCATGCCCTCAACTGTATATAGCCTTCGGCTATATGATCACCGGGTAGGCCTTCGGCAACATCACTCTCGGTGAAGATTCCTTTTAGAGACAGTCAACCACCGCATTCAATGCGGCATCACGTCCAACCACCGCATTTAATGCGGTGCACATGCAAATGCCGGTGCCACCCCCGATTGAGGTGACCCTCAGCCATCTGATGTTTGACACGTGTCCCCGCCTAGCATTTATGGCTGCTATAAATAGCATCCCTTACTCCTTTTGTAAAGGATCCCAGATCAGAATCGATTAATATATCTGACTCTCTCTCTTACTTATTGCTCTAACTTCTCTCTAAGTTATTTGTCGTAATAACCCTTCGGATAAGCTACCCCCGGGTACACTATATATCATTTGGTGCTCTCGTTGAGAGGTCGAACAATCAAGTAAGAAACCCTCCCCCTCAAACAAACACTCCTCAGAATGGGTAGAACTCGAGGTCAGTCCAAGACCCTAGAGGAAAAGAATCTAGGCCTCGATGAAGTTAACACCGCTGATGCCTCAAACAAGGCTCCCGAAGGCGGGAATCTCGCTGAAATGGAGCAGGTCGATGTTCACCCGCGCCTTCAGCTCTGGAAGAATGCTCCCAACACTCCTGTCGGCTTCGAGACCCGTAGGAAGGACCGGAGTGAAAACCGAATTAGCCCTCCGGTCCTAACTATCGACGTACAATCGGCTTTCTCTGCCTTCATCCACACTCTCGCCCAAAATACGGGGGCCTTCGGAGGTCTGGTGACACCCCAGACCCATGTTGGGGAGAATGTCGTTCCATGCCCACTACTTCCTCCCCCCTTCGAAGCCCTGGTTCCAAGAATCGGGAATAACGAGGGAGTCATTGCTCAGGACACCGCATCCCAGGAGGTTCAGTCCCAAGACCAGTGTGGCGTAAACAAAGATCAGTCCCGAACCTCCACCCTCGACAGGCTCGAAGGGGCACGTGATCACCAGGGGATCCAAGATCGCCTCGGTGGTAAAGTGTTCCAAAGACCTCAAGAGAGCGGAGGGTTCATCTCCACGGGAGATGAGAAACATCCCCCTCGGGACAATGGCAAGGGAGTACTACATGCTGACAACGCCAGGCACTAGATCAATCAGGCTCACTCAGCCCGCGTCCAATCACCCGGGGCGGGACCACTTTCGAAGGGCCACAGGGACGAGATCATTGAGGCCCTCCAACACCACCTCGACGAGATGGAGGCTCGTCAGGCCTAAATGATAGCCTCCGCCTCACAGGCGGACCCCAAGTACGCCGCAATGTTGGCCAAGGTGGACGAGATGCAGAGGAAGATTGTCGTGCGCTCCAGGGAACCTGTCATCCAACTTCGCACGAGGACACCTTTCACCCCAAGAGTGTTGGCGGCTCAGATCCCAGGAAAATACCGAGGGCAAACCATCAAGCCGTATGAAGGGAAGACAGATCCCCAGGAGCACTATAGCAGGTATCAGAATAGCATGATGATGATGGGGGGCTCGGATGAATATTTGTGTCATTGGTTCCTCTCCACCCTAGAAGGACCAGTGTACGAATGGTTCAACCGGCTGCCTGAAGGGAGTATTGACTCGTGGCAGGAGCTCGCGCAGCATTTCCCAACGCAGTTCGCGAGAAGACACCGGTCAAAGAATCATTTCTCCCACTTACTAACAATAAGGCAGTAGAAGGAGGAGACCCTCCGGGATTTCTTGGAATGGTGGAGACAAAAGACAGACAAAGTCGATGGCGTCGACGATAAAACCCTGATGGCTCTCTTGCAGACGGTTCTCCGTTCCCGGAACTTCTCACGGAGCCTCATCACCGAAACACCCCGCGACTACATAAGGGCCCTTCAAAGGGGAGACATGTACGTCGAGGCTGAGGAGGTGGACAAATATTGTTGTAACCCTGACCAGCCCCGCAAACCCGAAGGCAAAACCCACCAAAATCTGAGGGCTCCTACTCTTCCGACAAAGGTACAAGCTCTGTTATAATATTATTTATAGTTCACACAGGCTCCCTTTGGTGACCGCCCCCGACATGGCCAAGCCAAGTCCGGGGGAGGTTACAAAAATAATCTGAGGGCCTGGGCACAACCCACGCTTTTAGAACACCCTTGGACCCCCCTAACACACCCCGTCAGTGTCATCCTGGACTACGCTGAGGAAAGGGGGCTAGTGGAGCGAGATTCCAGGGCGACTCTGGAAGTATACGCCATCAATCCCAATGAACCATACTGTCGCTTCCATCGCCACCAAGGGCACAGAACCAATGACTGCCACCAGCTGAAGGCAGCCATCGAGAGGCTGATACAGGCAGGTCACTTGTCCCAATTTGTCAGGGGCCCTCAATATCAAGGGCCCCCTCAAGGGCCATTGGTGAAGGCAAACACTTGGGTCAACCCTAACACCATCCCCTTGGGAGATCCGAAAGGGGAAGAAGCTAGAAATCGGGAACCTCACTGGGGAGGAGGATCAACAACACCAGTACAAATGCCACATCCACATGATCACCGGAGGTAACACCGGGGGAGATTCCACAAGCCAGAGAAAGAAGTGGGCACAGTCCCTTTACGTCGGGGAGGTAAACCATATGGCCCCGGCTAAGAGGCCGAGGGTAGATCCCATAATGTTCACTGATGCGGATCTGCCCCCGGGTTCACTTCCTCACAGGGATTCCCTCGTCATACGGACAGAAATCAACAACACCGTCATCCACCGCACTTACGTCGACACAGGTAGCTCCGTCAACGTAATGTACCACAACACTTTTC